TCAATTATCACACATAACCCCACCTTTAACTTGAAACTACCACACTATACCACATGGCAAGGCATGGTAAAATCAAATTACAACACTATACCACATGGTATAACATGGTAAAATCACTTACAGCAGCAACAAAAACCCAAAAAACCACACTATACTACAAGCTATAGAGGGTAACATCAAATTACCACATTTTACCACATGGTATGGCCTGGTAAAATCAAATTACCACACTATACCACATGGTAAAACATGGTAAAATCACTTACAGCAACAACAAAATCCCAAAAAACCACACTATAATACAAGCTATAGAGGGTAACATCAAATTATCACATTTTACCACATGGTATGACATGGTAAAACCAAAACAAATCCGAAAGAAAAAAAATAGGTTCAACAACCCAACCAGCTTCCACCATTCATTCACATAATCCTCTACGAAAACTGTGATTGAACAAATTAAACAACTGTCACATTTTCAGCCTCAAACTTTCTTCAACAGCCTTCAAATTCTCCTCCTCGAGCCTGCTAGTTTTTCTCTTCTTCTTACTTATAGCCCTTGCAGCCTCCGCAACTGGAATTGGTCGTTTTGAAGGCTTAAATGAATCTTTTTTAAGTTTAAACCCCTTCACTTTTCGGACCGGTAAATCATCTATTCCAAGATAACAAAAACAAACCACAATCAAATGACAGATATATATATAAAAATCATCCTCCTCAAACATTGCATATATCAAAACACAAAACTCTAAACAAAAACAACTTACTGTCACAGTTAGAAGATGTGCTTGTTCCAGCAGGTTCAATAATCAGTGGGACTTTACACTTTTTGATCAAATCAGTCATGAAGGCCATGGCTGATTTATACAAATCATCATCCAATGAAACCCTGCTGATCATTGATGGAGAAACAGCTGACAGATGGAACATACAAGACCGGTACTTCGCTGGACTATCAGTAGACGGAACTTCAAAACAAAAGTTCCCTCCAGTTTTTGCTACTCTTGTCCACCGTTTCAAAATCAAACTACTAGGAATGTGCTGGAACTTCAGATTGCATATTGTAGACCACAACATATCATATCCCTTCATTTGATGCTTACAGATCAAACCACTTGACTTCCTCTTACGGCAGGAACACTTGATTTCACCATTATCAAAATCAACCTTCAAACATCCCTACATCAAACATTCCTACATGTCTTTCTGGTTCTATCTCTGTATTTGAAAAAATATTATACGCAAGAGATTCATTGTACTGATCCAGGAAAAACTTGAATATCTTAGGCGTATACACATTAGCAACTTGCTTCACAATAGGGCTAGTAGAAAACCGAGAATCAGCCAACCTAGATAAGGCATAATACTCTTCTTGTTCTTCAGCATCCCTCTTATTATCAAGCATCCTCTCAAAGTGCACAAAGAATCTACTAACACTAAACTTTGACCGCAAGTAATGTCGAATATTACTATTGCATCACTCACTTAGCTGGGTACTCTTCATTCCTGCACCAAAATAAAAATTCACCTAGGCTGAAGACCACTTCTTCCTGACTTTGTAAATGCCCTGTAACCAACTGTGTTCCAAAGGTCCCTTCCCAGGAAAACACTTCTCAATCATCTTCTTCCAATTATACTCAAAATCATCCTAATCATCAACATTATACATCAAATAACTAAGCTCACGTAGGAAATCAAAGTCACACAAACTTCCCAGATTAACAACTGCATTATGAGCAATATGCCATGTACATAGCCCATGAAAACAATCTGGGAAAACAGACCTTATACCAGCAGCAATTGCAGCAGCCTGATCAGTAAACATTGATGATGGTCTCACACCTCCCATGCATTTCAAAAACTGATCGAAAAGCCATTCAAATGTTGCTGTTGTTTCATCATATAGAAGAGAAGCCGCAAAGACAGTGAGTTGGTGATGATGGTTGAAACCAACAAACAAAGCTACAAAAACATTAAAAAAAATGTGAGTAAAAACAATTCTACCAACACATACCACGAGGTATATGGTAAAAACTTCTATGAACAAAACATTAATCCATACCAACCCATACCATATGGTAAAGACTTCTAAGAACAAAACACTAATCCATACCAACCCATACCATATGGTAAAAGACTTCTAAGAACAAAATACTAATCCATACCAACCCATACCATATGGTACAGACTTCTAAGAACAAAACACTAATCTATACCAACCCATACCATATGGTAAAGACCTCGAAGAACAAAACACTAATCCATACCAACCCATACCATATGGTACTGACTTCTAAAACACAAACACAACCTGATATATACCATGATACAGAATGATAAAAATAAGCATACAAACCCACAAAGACAATAATAAACAACAAAGTAGAAAAACATACCTAGTGGTCGATACTCTTTATTAGTCCGATAAGTAGTATCAAAACTAATTGAATCGCCAAAATAATGATAATCCATGCGCATCTTCCCATATGCCCAAAAAATACTAGCAATGTTCTCTTCAACATCAACCTCCACCTCATGAAAGAAGCTAGGATCCATCTGTGCTTGACGTCTAAAGTATGAAAGCAATGCAGTTGCATCACCATACTCCATTGATAACGTCCTCACAGTTCGCAGATGGTTCTTCAAATCATTCTTTGTGAACCCAACAAACTTCCGACCACCACCAGTCCTACTAGTTGCATTATACGAAGAAGTAACACCAATACCAGCAGTATCATTCACCTCTGCCAACATCTTGTACACAGGAGCCATTTGTCTGCTGGATCTCACATAGTGACGCAAAGACTCAGGAATCATGTCATGGTTGTGCACATTATACCAACGATAGATCTTGTAGCATTTGAACTCTTTAAACCACCTCAGTCGTATATAAGCACCATTACATCCACCCCTGAGTTCTGGAACATTACGAACACGAACCTTCGTATCAACAACACCTACATTATCAGGGTTATTCTCACTACCTTTTCTCCAACCTTCCTTATTGCAACAATACTTGATATAATAAACAGCTGAAGAACCACCATTGAGCTTCGGACATGCTGATTGTTGGTAAATCCTCACACCAAAACCTTCATGATTCCCATAATCTACATAGAAATTATATGCATCACCTGGTGTATTGAACTGTAAGTCCTTCCAAGAATCACAAACACTAGGATATATACCATTGAAACCTACAAACATTATAAAGCAATATATTTAATATGTACAAATATAATACCACCATGGTATGATATGGTAAAATGGATTCCACACCACAACAGAATCATATCTCAGCATATACCAGTAATTACCACCATGGTAAGATATGGCAAAATTAATTCCACACCACAACAATATGAAATCTCAATGTATACCAATAATTACAGCCATGATACAAGAATTACCACCATGGTATGATATGGTAAAATGAATTCCATGCCACACCAGAATCACATCTCCAACATATACTGATGATCCAACCATGGTACAAGTAATTACCACCATGGTATGATATGGTAAACCGAATTCCACACCACAACAGAATAACATCTCAGCATATACCAGTAATTACCACCATGGTAAGATGTGACAAAATTACAGCCATGATACAACAATTACCACCATGGTATGATATGGTAAAATGAATTCCACGCCACAATAGAATCACATCTCAGCATATACCAATGATTACAACCATGATACAAGTAATTACCACCATGGTATGATATGGTAAAATGAATTCCACACCACAACAGAACCACATCTCATCATATACCAGTAATTACAACCATGGTAAGATATGGTAAAATTAATTCCACACCAAAACAGAATCACATCTCAGCATATACCAATGATTACAACCATGGTATAAGTAATTACCATCATGGTATGATATGGTAAAACTTAAATACAGAGCGCAATAACATCACAACACAACACTATAGTATCACCTCTCATCGTATACCAGCAATTACCACCATGGTACCATATGGTATCTAACACATTCAAACTTCAATAAACAAACAAATTTGTATATCATACCTCCTGATTCACCAGAGTTAGCTGAATGACCAAATCCAAGATCGATAGATGAAGAAGCAGTTCCAACATTGCAAGATGAAGAACCAGATCCTACAACGCTGGTTGAAGAACCAGATCTATCAAATGGAACAACATCGCCACAATTTACGTAACTCATCTCACCAGAATACTGCAAAAACACCAAACCACAAAGAACATGAACATGAACAAGCTCGATTAGCTAAACAGAACACACAAAGAAACTCAAAGAAAGTAAAATCTACAAAACCTACAACGAAACCAGAGAAACTCAAACACGATCGAATAGCTAAACATGAACAAGCTTGACTAGCAATTATCGCAACGAAAAACCTACAACAAAACCAGAGATCGACAGAACGCTCAATGAAACCAAAGATCAACAGAAAGCTCAATTAGCTAAACAGGAAGAATCAGAAAAACTAATATCTAACCTTGCCGTCGATTTAGGTAATCCACCTAAGTTCTCGCCGTCGATCAATTATGGAGAATCAGAAAGCTCGATTAGCTAAACAGGAAAAAATCAGAAAAAATTCGCCGTCCCCTATTTGTAAGCTGCTGCTCGCCGTTTCTCTCTCCAAAAACCCATCGGACAAAAATGCTCCTGACCATTACCGCATCAATCACAGCCACAAGATCAATCTGGCCCAGATCGACGGTCCTTAGGTGGTTACTCACCCTATCCTAAGCCTAGCTATTCTGTTATGGAATATCTTGAACGCAAAGAAAAAAACCGGGAGAAGTTTTGTGTCGTTACTCGTTAGCAGAAGTATAATCCAATATTTTTTATTAGAACAATGGTGGGTAAAGAATTTTTGAAAAGAACAAGCATCATCATCTTTCAGGGAACACCCAGAATCCAATCGCAACCCGAATCCCCCAAATAGAAAATTATAAAAACCCAAGCTCGAAATCCTCCAAACCCAAGAAAATCATCATGAAGCCGTGAGATTCCCATACTTGGCCTTGTAATATTTCCAAACATCCGCCACATCCTTGCCAAGCAGCTCGCGAAGAAGCCATTGCTGTAAGTGTCCTTCATCATGGAATTGATCTCCGCCACAAAGCTCCCGTTCCTCAACCCATCGCAGTACTCCAAGAACCTGGCCGTAACGTCGTCCCCTTGGTCCCACTTCTCCCCTTCCCCTGCCTCCACCCACTTAGAAGAACTAATAGCAGTTTGGTCATTCTTGGGCTCGTAGTACCCGGCTTTCACCCTGACGTAGCCGCCGATCCCCAAAAGCAGCCCCGCCGGGGCCGTGCTGTTGCCGTTCCACCCTCACACCGATGCCATCTGGGCGTACACCAATCCGGCGAACTCCCTGCGCAGGTCGTCGTCGTTGGAGGAGGTGAGGTTGGCGAGGTAGTCGGCGTCGATGTAGATTTGGGCGGCCTGGTAGTCGTGGTAGGCGATCTCCTGGACGTCGGAGTCGATGAAGAGACTGACCTGCGGCAGGGATTGGCGGTCGGCAGAGGCGTTCTGTTGGAAGGTCTGCCAGGAGAAGTCGGAGGCGGAGGACATGGTGGTGGTGGTGAAATTGAGGCCGATTTGGGTGTCGAAGAGGATCCCGCATTTTGTCCCGGGAGCCATGTTGATGACTGGATATGTCACTGCTTCCACATTGGACACTTGCGTTGCTGCGACGAATAAGGCTAGCGTCGGGACCAGGAAGAAGAGAGCGGCGGCGGCCATGAGTGATGAGTTTTTTGTTTTCGTTTTCTTTTTATCCGGTGTGTGTTGTGGGAGATGGGATGGTACCGTGGGGAGGTTCGCATTTATATGTGCTATCGTTTTGGAATGGAGAGCGTGGCCAAAACAGAGCATTGTTTGTGTTTTAATGCTGGCTGGACATTGACATACATTATGTGCTTCTTACTTGTGTGTCTCAAAATCCAGAATAGACAAAATCGCGAGAGGGGTTAAATTCCTGGATATTGCAGTTAGTGTGGGTTTTGGAACTTAAAACCTCCCATTTCAAACTAGAAGAGGAATTCTTATATTTTCGCCCCTACATCCATCCTATCCTTCGTCTTCACTGATTGAGATGCAAACAAAAGGTGACCAAAATGGTGCCGGCGGCGCCTTTAAGAGAGAGGGGAGAGGGAAAGTTGCAATAGGGGGTCGAATAGGGTTAATTGCACTATAGTATTGATTTTGTACCACACTAACTACTTCAATTTTTTAGTTGTAACTAAACCACATAAATTGATTTCCGGTTGCACCATTTTATTTTTCATCATTAAACTTAACAATAGATATTAAATAGAAATTTTCCGCCTCAATTTGCACTATGCATAATTACCCTATGCCTCCCACTGTTTTTTTTTCTTCTTCAATATTTATAATTGTTACAGTTTTTACTTTCTAGATCTAATTGAATTGAATTTTGGCTTCCTTTAAAGCAATTACATTTTCTAGACTTAGAAAGTGAAATGCAATCTCGATTAGATTTTTTTGGGTTTATGATATGTTTTGCGTTGTTGGTGCCTTTATACAAACTCAAGCGAAGTAAATAGAAGTTACAGAAAAGAACAAAAATTGTTTGTTCCTTTACCATTATCATATTAATAATGTAGTGATAGTTCTAACAATTTTCAAATTTGCGTCTCAATTAGACTAGTATTCCGTTGTTGATTTATATTTTTAAAAAGTCCATTTTTCAATTACCTCCAACTCTTATTTGGATGAAGATGTTGTATAAGTACTAGGGGATTTAGCCTGAAATAGCACCATCTAAAAAAGATTTACAAAAATAGCACTCAGCCCACACAAATTCCAAAAATAGCACATTTCTTTCAAACCCGCACCTCGGCTATGCGGTTTACATGTAAATTGCATCCTGAGGGAGCGATTTGCTTTTATGGGCCAAAACCGAGCATGGTGGAGCGGTTCGTAGGCTGACCTAACAGATTCGCATCTTGGCCATGGGGTTCTTAGGATGACCTAGCAGAACCGCTTGTTGAGGCTGCGGTTCTGTTTCTCCAAAGCAAACCGCAGCCTCAAGCAGCGGTTTTGCCCTTGCCTGACACACAAACCGCACCCTCTCCCCTGCGGTTTGTGTGTCGTCCCCATTTTCCCGACATCCAGCATGTTGGCCATGCAAGTTGACAGACGAGGGGCGGCATGGCAGATGAAAACCGCTCCCGACCCTTGCGGTTTTCAGTGATGATTTTGCCTATAAAAGGCAGCCCCGAGAAACCTCTTCTCTTCACGCCTCTCCTTCTTCTTCTTCTTCTTCTTCAATTTTCTGTTGTAGCACCCTACTTTTTTTATTGTTTTTGCGATTAACGTTAACTCGTAAGTTTATTTTGTATTACTTGTTATTGTGTTTGTGATTTTTATGATATTAACTGAATTACGGTTTTATTGCATATGACATTCCAAAAGTTCACGCTTGGGTTACGGTGGAATGGTTACACGGAAGAGACCAGAAAGGGGGTCACCTACGTCGGTGAAAATTTTTAGAAAATAAAGGTCACTACCAGACCAATGCTTGAAGACCTCCATCAAATGTGTACTGATGTTACTTGCATGGATGGCACGTGAAGAGTTGATCGTATGGTGTACCGATATTCAAACAAAGAAGGCGGGTCGTTGTGGCATGATGAATATCTCATAACCACTCAGGATGAAGTAGATGCCATGCTCGAATTCTTGAAGTCAAATAATCTTTCCAAAGCCGAGATGTTCGTTTACACCTAGGCGGTCGAAGGCGTTGGAGGTCATTCTGGAGACGGTCAAACATCTGGTATCCATGGTGGAGGTGAATTATATGGAGATCATCCCTACCAAAGTTACCATGATCCTCATTCCTACTTTTTGTACCAAGAGTAAGGTGAAGGTCATCATCAATCTTTCCCATCATATGAAGAAGTCCAACGGGACCATGCCAACCGACCCGAGTACAACTTCCATTCAGGCAGCGATAGTTTTCACAACTACCATTAAGGAGCTGATGAAGGTGCCTTTCATGAACTGGATCAGATGGAAGATGCCCTACCAGCACTAGTTAGTGACCCCTCCGATGAAGAAGAAGGGAGCAATATCAGTGCAGACAACTCCGACCCTCTTGAAGGGGCTGATGATTCAGGCCCAAAGTCAGACTCAAATGATGATGAGGTGTCTCGTGACCGTGTACCTATCTCGTACTACAATCCCATTCCAGATGACAATTGGTCTGTCGACACCGACATGGAGCCGCCAAAGGTCCCAGTATGGGGTCCACTCACTGGGTTTATGAAGGGCCAACAATTTGGTTCGAAGAAGGAGGTGCGGCACGCCATTGAAACTGAAGCAATGACTCGGCATTTTGAATGGCACACAACTCATTCCAACATGAAGAGGCTCATAGTCAGATGTCGTAATCAATAAGAGGGATGACATGCTAGGATTCAGGCCATCAACAGTAAGAGACACGACTATAGGGTCATATCCCGTGCGGTGAACACACACACATGTGTGTCATCCATAACATCCCAAGGCCATCGACAGTTGAAATCCAGGGTGGTGGCCGCGGCTATCAAGCATCTAATTGAGCAAGATCCTGACCTGAAGGTGAAAGTCATAATCGCTGACATTACAAGTCGTTATGGTTATATTATTAACTATAAGAAGGTGTGGCATGGAAAGCAGAATGCTCTGGCCATCGTCTTTGGTGATTGGGAAGAATCATATGCATTCCTTCCCAGGTTGATTTTGGCATTGGAGGCGTCTACCCCTGGCACTGTTTTCTCCCCTCGATACCAAGATGAAGAGATACAGTCGCCAGAGCCTGTGACAAACACCATTTTAAACGTCTTTTTTAGGCATACAAGCCATCTATTGATGGTTTTGGCTTCTGTGTCCCTGTGATCCAAGTGGATGGTACATTCGGCCTGATCTCGGGCACGTTCGGTCTTTCCCGAGTCTTCTTGTTTTTCCTTCTCTCGTATGGTGGTGGGGGGTTGTCCACATCAATTGCTATCGAACGTGGCACTGGTGCGGCCATGGGCGGGTATCTATGATGATCACGACCCCGTGCTCTAATACACCTAAGCAGGCTGTTTGTCATCCTCCTTAGCAAGCCCACTTCTTCCTTGACCAGTTGATCTCGACCATGGGTCATATCCTTGATACGCTCGAGCCCATCAACCTAAATCACATAAAAAATTTAGCAAGCTAAAACTCATGAAAAAGCAATAAATTTAATTGATTAGACGGAATTACTTACCAATGCACCATCGGCCGCACCCTCCGGAGTAACGTACCAAACCGATTGTTGTCTATATCTATCCATGTATGGGTCATGATACCCCATTCGACACACAGCTGTCGGAGTGACAATCTCAAAATCTTGTCGGTTCTCCCATATGGTGATGAATTTCGTTAACTTCACGGGCCAATCTTGCTCACCTTTTCGACCATCTCGCTGGTGAAACACTCTTTGAATCTCGGGGAGCTCCAAAGGAATGAATTTCTCCCGACCAAACTGACGGAGACATCTATCCGGCAGGTGCCACTCCACGGTATGGTGACAAATGAGAGGGACTCTCGTGCACCATTGACCGATATGACCAGGGAATTGCTGGCAATGCCAGTGAACAATGTTCTTAGGGTGTGGATAAATTATCTACAAAAAGAAATGAATAACTTAAGTTAAACGAATTTGGAAGGTACCTGTAGTTCTTCAAAAAAAATTATAACATTTCGAAGTATTCTAGTTACCTCTCCTTCCCAAAGTCGCTCTAGCCTCCTCCGATACTCCGCCAACTTGTGGTCTACAAGGTTGTCGCATGTTGTGGCTCCAACCCATCTTATTAGTAAGACAATGATGAAATGTTATAACTAAATAACAAACGAAATTGTTTTATGAAAATCAAGATTGGGTATGAGAAGTTTACCTACAACCATAAGCTTCACCTCTTAGGGGATGGTCGATTGGGAAATTCCTGTCGGGACATTTGACCGGTGCAATCCATGGCAGATGCTCCCAAGCCCAAAATTGAACGATGAACATTGCCCCGCCAACCTCCCTCACAGCTTTGAGAGATGCATTACACAAATGGTGGTAGATATTAGCTAGGCAAGCGGATGCCCTGCTCAACTCCCCCATCGCATCCCAATCACCAAGGAGGATCCTGAGCCATCCACAGCTAATTAAATTATTCGATTTTTTGGAGAAGAACACTCCTTCGTTCATGCCTATGAGATAGACACGAGCATATCTTTCCTTCACCTACTCTGGACTTTCCTCGGTTAGGGGCACCCTGCCTTTTGTAGGATCGTGCTGGTCCTTCATCCACTTCCTCAACCAAGTGATTGATACTTGGTTTTTCCTCAATTGTGCTAAGCGATATGTCGCATCCACGCTCCACTTGACTGGCACTCGCACCCCCAAAACAATGTAGATCAAATGCTGCCAACAGGTCATATCGCCAACATCCTCGGGAGGGGATGATCACTCACACACACCGCTTTGCCGTCGATGGGTAGATGGGTGAGGATGGCAATGTCCTTTAGTGTGATGGTGCACTCTCCTTCGCGAAAGTTGAAACAATGTCTCTTTTCGCCATCTCTCCCCCAATGCGGCGATGAGTTGACGATCGATTTTTATGCCTGAAAAATGCCTAATCGACTCCAACCGTGCCTTTTTGAGAAAGGGAGATAACGTCGTTCCATGGGAGCACATTGGTCGTACCCCTATAGCGTATTTG